TTGAAAAGTAAAAAAAGAATCTCTGATTATAATGTTCATTTATACGAGCAATCGCGTTATTCGAGAGATTATTACCAAACTATTTATCATTTTTTAGCAATTAATAAAAGCCTAAGGAAAAAAATACAATGAAACTCGTTCTGTCTTCCCGTACCTCGTGTATAACATACATTACAGATCCATACGTATATCGTAAACTAAGAATAGATTTATACTGTAATGAAATCAATTTAATAATCACTGATTTCATTTTCTTCATCTTACTTTTCCCGAACTCTTGATACCACGAATTAAACAAATGAATACTATTGCCCAAGATGCTAATAATGATAAAACTAATGGCCATTCAACAGTTGTTGTATAATCGATTCCGGGTGATTTATTCAAAATGTAATTACTAAAATAGATTCGTCAAATGTTTGTCAATTTCCGCAGAAATATGAAATAAGCGCTTTTCCAAATATTGAAAAACTATGATAATAAAAATGCTGAGAGCATAAAAGTTAGCCAGTACAGGATTTGAATATATGCAAAGTCTGAATGTGTCTGAAGTTCCTTTGTTTGTGTCTTTCGTACTGCGATTCGATAAAACCGTTATTTTTACGTGTAGCGGCATGCAATTTAAAAATATTTGCATGTTAAATTTTAAAGTAATGGTCGAAAAAGACATATAGCAATACTAAAGTAAAGATTTCCTATATGCAAGGAATAGATCAGTCTTTTTTCTACAAATTAATACCAACCGCAGATGTCTGTCATCTGAAGAGACTCGCTGGTACTGACTGCTCCGTACTGGTTTCTCATGATATGCAAGAGTGATGAACTTAGAACGGAAACATAGCCTATCGATCCTCCTAATCGTCCGGGCTTTATTGTCAAATATATCATAACGAACGGGCGAGTATCTTATTACAATTAAAAATTTAAAGTTTTCTGCAAGGCTAAGTTGAAGTTGAGAAATAAAATCCGTGTAACGGTGGCGATCAGAAGAATTAATAAGATCTATTTCCATTGTGATCTCATTACTTCTATATACCATGAGAAACCAATACAGAGTTCTGAAATAAAATTAGTAGCAAAAACTGATAGAAATAGATTGTTCTGTACATCTTATCACGAACGCTTTTTCAAAAACATGAAAAGTCAAACGAAACAGATCAACATAGTTTTAGGAAGGATCATCATTTTTTAATTTAACTAAATCTTGTTTTGTTGTACTACCCAAGCAAAAATGAGTAAGGAAGGAATTCTAGCTGAAAAATAACTTAACCGCCCTCTTAAGAATAGATTTTTGGGTCAAATAGCTAGCTGCAATTGGGTAAGTGTCCACTGCTGGCTGCAAGCGCCCGATGCAGTGGACACTTAATTGGCCGATTAACGCCCTATTAATCGGCATCAATCGCTTAAAGCGTCGCTTAAGCGGGTTAAAAGTTGGGTTAGCTAGCTGCGAGTGCCCACTTCATAATTTTTTTTTCGTATATGAGTAGTTCACTAATTCTGTTCTTTATTAACAATAGTTACTGTCGTTAATTTGCAGTTCTAGAAAAAAATACACACGCGCCCATTTCCAACAACTTTTGCGATCAATTTTTATTCCAATAGAGCTATCTTTCAATACATCAGAGTATATAGGTCACACAGAGCGCATGACGACTCGAAATGCTCATCATGAAAGTGCTTTTTCCACATTTACAAGACAGTAGTACTATGTTTTTATATCCTAGGATAGATACAATTGGGATGAAACAAAGATTTTCTTTAACCGAAATAAAACAGGAAATTTTTTAAAATAATTATCATACGGTAAGTAGTCAATTTCTCAAGTGATAAAATAAACGCAAATGAACATATCTGAGTATGTTCCTTAGTTGCAAAGGTACTATAGAGAACAGATATCATGCAGCAACCATCGGGTGATAGAAACTACATAGACTCCTAAGATAAAGCGATTAAAAAATGAATTTGAACACTTGTACTTATACACGGTGAATCTGTTGATCGTTACATTGTTCCACACATGAACTGAATCAAACTTTTTTTGGATATTCGGTTTTTAAACAATTTAGTTTTTGGGCGCAGTAAATAATCGTGATAAATTCTGAGTAAATAGTACTTACTTGAAATAATCGTCTGATGGTAATACGGGTTTTCGATCGTTTAAACGGCTTTGTAGATTCCACCAGCCAATTTGATAAAGTCCTTCATCACCCCACGTATAACATCGACCATTCGGATCTTGATAGGTATTCTCATAGTCACATCGGATAATAAATCGATTATAATCATCTGTACAATCTAAAATGGAAAAAAGATTAGAAAGATAAGTTATTATCTAATCAAAACTTGTAGTACTTGAGCTCGACCATGAACCACACGTCGACCAATCAAGTTTTGATCGAAATGATAACACCAAATATAGAATTGAATATGCAATCAACATATTGTAATAGACACACAAAAAGAAAGACATTAAACACATTGATATTCCAATACCCTTGAATATGGGTGCCATTCGCCAACACTGCATTGCTCCTTGCGATGTAAATTGTCCCAGATTTATTTCAAGAAAAAATAATGGAATACCGATTAAGAGCAAAAATATAAAGTAAGGTATCAAGAAAACTCCTAAAAAGATAATAAGACAAAGGTGAAGCATTTTGTTAAAAATAATTTTCTCTTTCACCTCCGCCATTACGATAGCACAAATACGGAAAACGCCAAACGGCACCTAAAAGTGTAAAATAATTGATTTTTCTTGAATTATATTGTAGTCATAAAATTCTCACCAAGTCCTACAGCGTACCCAAGACTAGAGAAAAAAAAATCGAATCTTCCAGACCATTGTTCTCTACCATTTTTATCTACACCTGGATCAGTAACTTTGTTCTTTTTGCTCTTCTTCAACACAGTACTTTTACCACCGATCTTGAATAGTAAGCGGTGCTTGTCAGACAAAATCAAAGTACACTGCATACAAAACGCAGGAAATCGGTTGTCTCTACCTCTCTATCTAGCAAAAGAAGCTCTGATTTTATGTATTGAACAGTACTAGTTGAACTGAAACTGGAAACAAATGTTCCGTATATATAGTGTAAAGATGAAGAGTGAGACTTTCTTTCCTAAGAGATACATGCCGTCAACCGACATTTGAACGATGCCGACATTACTACGAACAGAACTCCGACTCTTCCACGAATTTGTCGTAGTACACGTTTGGGTATTTTTGGCAGTGTGTCGTGGGAGGTGAGGGTGTGGGCAGTGTGAGAGTGAATTCGAAAAGTAGTTTCAGACAAAAGATATTTTCATCATGCGAAACTGTATATCTGTAACTGGATTACATAATGACTATTCACCACATAACTTCACTCAGGTTGCACACTCAGGGTCGCTCAAACGTCGGTTAATCGATACATACACCGCAGATGAGTTAAATCTTAACTTTTTGAATTTAACTCTTACACAAAATCAATTTTAGAGGCTTCTGCACATAAGCTAGATACCAAAATGAACATACTGCTTTTTTGGGCTCTTGTTCTTCTTCAAACTGATATTGTGATAAATCTTGTGTGAGGTCGTAGTTAGAATATGAAATGTTCGGATCGTATTGAGGGACATCATTTACATAAATATGGCTGTTTTCATCGTTGTCTGGATATGGTCTATGTTGACCTTCGTCTTGCCGTTGTCCACCATATTGAATCTAGAACACCAATTGGTGCCATAGTTTTATATTGTGCAGTGAGAAAAATACGAGAAATGTGAGAAAGTGAGAACGAACAGGCTGGGTTTCAAGATCACAATGTCTCCTTTTCTGTCTAAACTGTTAAATAAGTAATCTGTCTTATATGCACACAATCACCAGATATTTTTTTAAACTTTAACCCCTTGGCATAGTACTTAGGGCTGACCAAAAGTTCGTAGAACGATGTTTAAATTTTTATACAATACTTAACATCGAAAGATTTATTGCATGAATAATTAGTAAAATGTCTTGTCTATAATTCTAACAGTCTTTTAGATAAAGTCTATAGCACAGTGAATATACGAACATTCCTTGTCCAGGATTTGAGTATATTTCTGAATTTCGCATTTTTTCTTTCCTTCCTCATGTGATATTTTCTGACATCATATGCACTTAAATATTACATGTAACAATTGAGTGTAAAATCATTTATTGAGTTAGTTCATTCGATTCGCTTACTTTTTTCGTGTGAATAAATCAGCATTCCGGTCGATACTTTGTACCAAATATCAAAATCAGATCTGAATTCTTTTTTAAATCATTAAAATGACCGATGAATTTAATCGATATTATATTAAAATTTGGACAATGCTGGAAATAGATGCAAAGACAATTTGCGAAGAACTTACAACAGCATTGGGACCTGATGCTTCAGCATATTCAACTGTTGCAAAATGGGCGAAACGTTTTCGTGAAAGGAGAGAGGATGTCAATGATGACTTTCGTTCTGGTCGTCCGATTCGGTACTTACAGATGAAAATATCGAACAAGTTCGAAAAGTTATCGAAGATGATCCGCATTCAACCTATGATGAAATCATAGCCGAGACTTCCCTCTCTCATGGTACAATAGAACGGATCATTCATGACTGTTTAAAGATGAGAAAAATTACATCACGTTGAGTTGCTCACAAACTCAGTGATGAACAAAAGCAACAAATATATTCGAATCCTGAACAAGGAATGTTCACATGTTTATTGCATTATAAGCTCTATCTAAAAGACTGTTAGAATTATAGACGAGACATTTTACTAATTATTCATGCAATAAATCTTTCAATGTTAAGTATTTTATAAAAATTTAAACATCGTTCTACGAACTTTTGGTGATATGCCTGAGTAATGTCGAAAAGTTCGAAGATGGCAGGGGTAAGATCTTAGTAGCAATAATGTTGTCGGGGAAAGGAAAAATGACGAAACTATATTTTCAATCATTTTACACAAATAGTAATTTAACAAAAAAAATCTCTAACAATCAATCATTTTTTTATTTTTTTTGTTTTATCTTTAGCAACAACAAATGATAAACCTTCTAAATATTCTTCCAAATTTATTTCATCATTTGTATAACGATCAGCAAGAGTATCAATACGACGTCGTACACAATTTGCCTTTTTTGTTTTTGGTCTTCCAGCTGCACCAGCTCGCATTGTATTACTTGATGACGGAAATATACTTCTTCTTGTTTTAAACAATTGATAAGATGCTATATAGTCAGCTTGGCCAATTTTCATTCCACCATTTTTACTACATGAACTCTGCTAAGATTTTACCCTTGCCGTCTTCGAACTTTTCGACATTTTTAGTTTTCGACTACTTTCGGCATTACTCAGTACATTCCTTTTGGTCAGCCCTAAGTATTATTCTCCTTATTCAAGATACCCAAAGTGAAAATCTTTTCGGATGAGAAGGTTCGAATTTTTGTTTTAACTTGAACAAAGCTTAAAAATACATCATTAGACGCAGTTTTCACGATGATTACAAATCTGCACTCAAAAACAAATGAAAGTCAAATCGCCGTGATGAAAATTGAAATTTTTAAAGTTTTAAATTTTAAATTTAATTTCCTGACCCAGATACTTTTTCCAAAAATTCTGAAAAACACACCGTTGGATAGAGAATCGAATCTTCCACTAAAGTCTCATTTTTTTTTGACGCCTAGATGTCAATCTTTTTTTCTTTTTGGCATCGCTTTTGATCTTGGATGGAACCAAATATCTGTTCGAGGAAGTGCATGGTCTTCAGTATCAGTTCCAGAGCCGGGCAAGTCAGGGGTTTTCTAAGTCACAAGTCAAGTCATAAGTAATAAAAAATTTTCACCAGTCAAGCCAAGTCACAAGTCATGACTTGAATTTTTTTTTTTCGTGAAAAACGGCATAAAAGAGTCTCCATTCCTTGGTATTAGAACACAGATTTGTTATGCTATTGCAAAATGCGCGTCTTGTTACTGTGCGTAGATTCTTACATATTATAACATCCACAGTTCCAAACCATTATGAATTATTATTTAAAATTAGATTACATAAGCGGTATAAAAATATGCATGACTTGACTTGATTTTTTATGCCAAGTTATAAGTCAGGTCTTTTAAAAAAATTTTCAAGTCAAGTCATGAGCCGTCAAAAAGTTCTCAGGTCAAGTCAGGTCAAAAATGACTTGACTTGCCCAGCTCTGATCAGTTCTCGATGTAGATAGCCTCTTTCTCAAAATTTAATGATTTGTTTACCAAAGAACAGATACGCTATTTTTTTATGAAAGTCACGTTTTTACCTCATCGATTTCCTATTCTATGGTTTCTTTGAACGATTTTTTACGACTATCGATTTCATACCGTATTATACGGGTTTTTTTCGCGTAGAACACGTATTGTCTTTCTGATCAAATTATGAAGTACCCCCTGCATATCTGTAGTTTTATCTTACAGTGCGGTAATCACAAAGATAAGAAATCTGATTGTCACCTTAAATTAAACATTATAATCTGTAAATTATTTTTTCTATGTCTATAATAAAAATACATAATTACATGTACATACCTGATGATACATTTCTCTGTTGTAACAGTTTATAAAACACAGAGCATCGATAAAAAGAAGAGAGAAAAAAAAGAAATTCGTTTACGTACGAGAATTTTTCTTTTGTTCTTCTACCTTGATGAATTACCTGTAAAAATATATAAATTATAGTTTAATATTTGTTGATCTGATTCACTATCCAAGAGAAAAATGAATGATTTACTCTCTTTTTTGGCATTTTTTATATCGAATTCTCTCTCTTTTTTGTGTTACATTATAATACTGCATACAATCATAATAATGTGTGGTATAGTCATAAATGCACTTAGCGTTTGTCAACAGAAGAAAAACCACAAACAGTTTGTAGAGGAAATATGATTAAATTTTATAGTTGCCAGAATGAAAAATAATTGATGAATATAAAATATTCTGTGTGTTTGATTCATAACCTTCAATTAGTACAGAATGCAGCACGACGAACAGTCAGATGGTTTTGCAGATTAAGTGTAGAGACTGATGCGAATCAGAGTATACGTTGTACAATATAAAGTGGAGAATGCTTTCTTTGAGTCTTTCCCCAGTTTTCAAATATTTCTAGAGGGATTATTTTTTTTTTCAAAAAATTTTCGGTTTAGGACGGTTGCTCTTATGAGAGGCTCTCTCGGACACTTGCTTCTTAAAAAACAAAACATAAAATATTTTATAACGACAGCAAACGTCTAATGGATTTTTAGTTGATCGTAAACATCAGTATGGGTATTTTTAACTAAATTTGGTACACGTTCGTTAAATGTTTTCATCCTATTGTACCATAGACATTTTTCTAATAAGAAGAAAGAAGGAAGAAGACCCCGCCTTGCGGTATAGGGTGCTGCCGAAGCAGTTTCGATAAGCCCGATATCTTCCCTACAGCACCGAAGTACCCGTGTATGTCATAACGTAGTGAGCATGCTATCGAACGGGTGATCCCAGACAATAGCCGTTAGTAACTTGTCCAAGGTTATTCTATGACCGGGCGGCGCCGAGGTTCGAACACAGTACCTTTAAAGTACGTGCCGAACAACATAACCACTCAGCCATAGCGGCTATTTTTCTAAGAGTAGATAGGGATCCAAATATTTTGCTCGTAAACCATTTTTTCATGAATATTTATCATTGCTTTGTCTTCTCTAACGCTTTTCAAGAAAAAAGAATCACCTTTTTCGAAGAATCGGTTGGTTGATGAAGAAAATTTTCAACAGATAATTATTTGATCTGAAACATATTGTATTATAAATAACTCGGTGCAAATGATGTACTGATTCTGAGTATGATCTTATTTGTCTTAAAAGTGCTTCCAGAAGAGGGAAAAAATAGTTTTTATCTGAGAAACTAGAGGTTTTTTGAAAAATCTATTGTTCTGATTTGTGCTGCCTGTATACAGGATGGTCCAAAAGTCACTCGGTAGTCTTAGGCTGCGACTTTTGAAACACTTCCGAGTGCCCTAAAAATCTGGCTTTAGTCTCATCCGATAGAGACTTAAATTCTCTACAAATCTGGTATTTAAATCTCTGATAGCAGTTTTCTCGTTTGAGCATATTTTGAATGATGCTGAATTGTCGAACTGCTACACACTGGAAATAGAAAAATATTTGTCTTGATCCAAAAATATATTCCATAAGAATTTTTGAAAATTTCAGAAGACTCATCGAAAAAGTCTGCATCTTCTCGTATAGTTTTCGAAAATTTGCAGTTAAGCCTGCTAGGAAAATTTCTCTGTGCTAAAAACTGATAAATCTAAAACAACCTAACTTCTGAACCAGTTTTTCACAAAATTTAGGTTTTTAACTATAAAAGCTGTAAAACGTTCTGAATCCAGGATCTTATTATCTTACACAGAATTAAATTCTGCATCTTTTGTATATAAACAAAATTTCTCAATTGAAACCATTAATTAACAAAACTAATTTAATTTGAGAAAATTGAAAAGCCGGTTGAGAACTAATTATGAATCCAGCTGACGTAGTAGACACATTGTATGGAGTTGTAAATGAGTAAGATCGCTAGAGCATAAAATTCTCTATCTAGCGACGTAGAAACATTGAATACTGACCTCAGATAACCAGCAAATAATGTCAAAAAAAGAAGACGCCAAAAGTACGTCGCAGTTCGACAACTCAGCACCATTCTAAATATGCTCAAACGAGAAAACTGCTATCAGAGATTTAAATATCAGATTTGTAGAGCATTTAAGTCTCTATCGAATGACATTTTTAGGTCACTTGAAAGTGTTCCAAAACTCGCAACCAAAGAGTGCGGGGTGATATAAGCGGTGATTGCAATGATGTTTCGTAATTTTCCACTTGTTCTGGTGTCCAATCATATACGACGGGAAACATTAATTTTGTTAATGATAAACAGTCATTTATTGCATATTGTGTTTGTAATTGACGCATTTCTCGTTCACCAACTAAATATCGAATACGATCCATTCCAACTAATACTTGAGGTATACCTGTTGCCAAACGTTCATCAATACCACATCCCCTGACCAGATTTGTGGCTACGTCTGCTTTTATGTATGTTCTGTGTGCTTGTATTTTGATCTCTAACAATACTTCCCCAATGATATTGAGTGGAGAAAAATTCGCGGATATGCGTGATTTCTGTTTGTAAATGAATCTTTTGTGATGAATCTTTTTCAAAAAATCTTGATGGATAATGGTGACTGATGATCCCGTGTCGACAATCGCATGTTGAGAGGTGTTGTTCACTTGAACTTTGATAATGATAGGGATAGAGATCGATGATGGGGATGGTGATGACTTTGTATATGTTACGGGATCAACGTCATCAAATGAGTCCGTTATTGGAAAACCTGTGGACAATCCTTGACAAGATGTGTAGATTGTCCACATTTAAAACATCCGGATGATTTTCTAGAGTAACAATCGATCGTCCGATGATTGGCACGTTTGCATATCAAACATGGAGTTAATTGAGGTTTTACTTGATTTGTGTGGGGTAATACATTTTGTACTTCATCTCGATTTTGTGAGAACGGTGGAGTCTGCTGATAATATTCGGTTCGTGATACGGGAGTTCGCTGTTGGACCGAGGTTTTTTGTTGATAAGGCATCTGTTGATGGCACGGTAACGGTGAAGAAGGTTGGGAAACACGTTGAGACAAATATTGACGAGAGAAGGGTCTTGATGTGACAGATGCGGTTGGGTCAGTATTATATATGAAGTAAGGTTGGGTTGCCTGGAATTTTTGTTGTTCGTCTTGTTGCAATTCATCTTCATTCCTTGCTACTTTCAAAAAAATTTGTGGTGTCCATTCGTCTTCCGATATCAGTTTCATTTGTCGTTTGATTTGTGTTTTCAATTCTGTTTTAATTCCATTTTCCAAACAAGACACTATCATTTTCGTGGGCATTTTTGGATCATATTTGCTACATAATTTAACAATGGAATCATAATAATTCGTAACCGATTCGTCTGGTTGTTGTTTCCGTTCAATTAATTTTTGAAATGCTTTTGATGCTGATTCCAATGGTTTAAATCGTTCGGTCATAGCGGCTTTGAGCGTTGACCATGTTGTGATTATTGTTGAATTGTTTTCGTACCACCGGGCTGCTTCGGCATCCAGTTTTGATGTTGCCATACAATATAACACATACTCTTGTGCGTTGACTATGCTTCCAATGCGTTCAATATTGCTGAAAAACTGATCGATTGTACGTGTTCCATCACCGCTAAATCTTTTCATATTGATCAAGCTTTCTTTATAGCACGCCATTAGTGCTTGGTCCGTCATCGTGAATGTTGTTTTGTCGAATAAAGGAATAGTGGAACTGGATGGAGACAAGTTATTACCGAAATTAGATTGTTGCCGATCCTTCACCGACGAACTTACGATACGATCTCCCGAAAACAATTCTGATTTGTTTCGGGTTCGGCTTCTTGTTCCTTCCGCCGTTCTTATAACCCCAGGAATCTTGTCAACAGAAATTTCCTCTTATTGGTATGAAAAAACAGAGTAAGTCTTTAGCAGACCCTATTTAAATATCACGACAATTAAATAATTATATGATAATACGATTGAATTAAAATACTGGTCACCGGTGAACGATAATACAGAAATAGGACGAACGAATAATGCTTTCTTATAAGAAATTTGGTTAGCGGTACTCACGTGCTTGTGTAATTAGAAAAAATTATTTATTTTTATTTTTATTTTTTAGATATATCGGTTCGCTTTTTCTGCTGTACAGAGCATGTCTTTATGTGTCCCTTCTTCGATTTTAAGGTGAAGAAGCCGGGTCACACGGCACCAAAATATAAGCGGTGTCCCTGCACTCACCTATATATGTCGTTATATATCAAGGTTTTTTATATTTTTACTTGATTTTAATAGTATAAAACAGGAACTGTACAACAAAATGTGTCTACTGTACACGTGGAAGAAAAACAATAACGAACCATCTTTAATCTGACGCACTAAATATGTATATGACGAAAAAGGAAAAAAGAAAAATGAAAATAATCTAAATATGTATGGACGAAAACTTCTTGAATATAAAGAAAGAAGAAAAGAATGTACTGAAACATCTCTAGATGTATATGATATAACAACGAAAAAGGAAAAAGGAAAAATGTACTAAAACATCTCTAGATGTATATGATATAACAACGAAAAAGAAAAAAGGAAAAATGGAAGGCCTCGATTTAGAACTATTCAAACGGTATGTGTAAGGCTCTAGCCTGTAACAGGTGACTTTTAGACCGACCTGTAGATATAGGGTAGAACGTACGTCGGAATCCCGTTCTAAATTTTCGTAACTGTCTCGTTCGCAACTGTCAAGGTTTTAAGCTTTACCTGTACACAAATTGTTTAAGGTTGAATATTCAACTCTTACATGTATCACCTATAACTTTCCATGAGAAAAATTAGAATTATTTTATAGTTTGTTACTTCATGTCACACCCCAAGAAGTTTTCGATCAAGTTAAGTCAAATCTAGCCAGACTTGGCTTGACATAACTTGGACTTCAGGCATTTTTGACTTGACTTGACTTGTCCACCTCTGGTGTGATACGTAATTGTTAATAGCTGACGTGCTCTACAATAACGTCCTAGCACCCACGTACTCATTTCCTTTTTTCCAGTGTTTCTCACAGTATCATCACTGTTGCCTTACAGCTATATTATGATTAAAATACTAAACGAAATTCTTCTTTAAATGTATTATTTATCGTACACTGTGTGTGTACGGCAGCTGTATGTCACACTAAGTAAATACTCAGACATGAGACATGCATTTTAACTGATGTTTGATTACTAAAGAAACGAAAAAGAAGGTGAAAGATAGAAAACAAAGACGTCTAATGTTCGTTAATACAGAAGAAAACAATTTTTACCACGACACAACCATAGTGACATAAATTCAACGAGGTAGAAATTTGAGCAAATTTGCATTGTACGTACTCACAACAAGAGATTTTCAAGTTCTTTAGAGTATATGGCCGCCTCACTGAAGAGGAATAATCCAAGGGAATGCGTCTTATGCCGAGAGCGGAATGAAAAAGGACGTGGAGTTACAATATGTACAGGATGCTCGCAAATGTTTTGTGATACACATTATCCGGAACATCGCCAGATGATATACAAACAATTTGACCGACTCATACAAAAACACGATTTGCTCATCGAACAACAAGCGAGTTTTGAACAACACGCGAATCGATCACAAGACAAACGGCTCTCTCAATTGATACAAACCATTGATGAGTGGCAGCAAGAGATGCTCGATGCGATAAAAAAAACAGCTGCTACAGCAAAAGCAAAGTTGACAGAAACGCTGAACAAAGAACACGCCGAAATGACACACATCTTTAAGCGGATAACAAATGACCTCCGTGTCAAACAATCAAAGCATGATTACGATGAAACAGACGTTGAACAATGGACGCAAGAACTGGAGGAACTGAGAGAACAACTGAACCAACTGCAAACATCGAACAGCAAGAAAATTGAGTTGAATATAAATAGATCCATCGATTTCACAAACATTATCAACATTACAGTCAACGAAAATGATAAATATATCTCACCAATTTCTCTTACAACACACACACAGTTATTTATAGGTGGAACACTACTGAATAACAAACAACACCAATTCACACTGAATGAATTTTCTGGACACCCATATCAACGATGGAACCTGATATACAAAGGCACCAGAGACGGATTTCACGCCAAAGACTTCCATCGTCACTGCGATGGGAAAAAGCCAACGATAACACTTTTTCAGAGCAAAGAAGGCGGTTATCTCTTTGGTGTGACCATGCAAATACCACATTTCCTACACCAACACACTAATCTAAACATTAGAAATCCAGTATCATCCAATACCCGAACATCGCATCGCACACACCACCGTACCATGGACATCAACCCGACAAAGTCACAAAGATGAGAACGCATTCCTCTTCACCTTAACCAATCCGCAAATCTCCCAATTACCAAATTTCCTATTCAAAACAAAGATCATCTATATGCTGTGTATCAAAACTCAAACTGCGGACCAGTGTTTGGTATGCTTGGACCAACAACTGCGTAAACATTTTTATTCTCTATCTACCCTACCCCAACCACGTCCTCTTAATGATTCTTTCTCGCCGAATTCACAAGTGGCGTCACTCTTCCTCTTCCATCATACACCTACTTTCACTTGCTAGATCACATACATGAACAGCCGCACCATTTAATTCACTGGTCTGCTTGAATAAAATCACACGTTCTTTATCTCTGTGCTTCTTCGAACTAGGAAGCGGCGTCACTCTTCCTGTTCCATCATACACAAATTTTCACTTGGTCGATCACATTCATGAACAAAGTGACCACTTGAATCACTGGTCTGCTTCAATACCATCACACGTTCTTTATGGCTCTGCTTCTTCAAACCAGAAAGCGTCGTCACTCTTCCTCTTCCACCATACACAAACTTTTACTTGATCGATCACATTCATGAACAACGTGACAGTTTGAGTCACTCGTGTGCTTGAATACAATCACACGCTCTTTTTGCTTGTGCTTCTTTGAACCAGGAAGCGGCGTCACTCTTTCCCCTCGATCATACACGAACTTTTGCTTCCTGGGTCACATTCATGGACAACGTGACCACTTGAATCACTCGTCTGCTTGAATACAATCACACCTTCTTCATGGCTGTGCTTCTTCAAACCAGAAAGCGTCGTCACTCTTCCGCTTCCATCATACAAAAACTTTTACTTGGTCGATCACATTCACGAACAACGTGACCGTTTGAGTCACTCATCTGCTTGAATACAATCACACGTTCTTTGTGCCTGTGCTTCTTTGAACCAAGAAGCGGCGTCACTCTTCCTCTTCCATCATACCCAAACTTTTACTTCGTCGATCACATTCATCAACAACGTGACCACTTGAATCAGTCGTCTGCTTGAATACAATCACACCTTCGTCATGGTTGTGCTTCTTCGAACAGGAAAGCGTCGTCACTCTTCCTCTTCCATCATACACAAACTTTTACTTCGTCGATCACATTCATGAACTACGTGACCGTTTTAGTCACTCGTCTGTTTGAATACAATCACGCGTTCTTTGTGCCTGTTCTTCTTCGAACACGAAAGCGTCGTCACTCTTCCTCTTCCATCATACACAAACTTTTACCTTATGGATCACATTCAAGAACAACGTGACCCTTTGAGTAGCTCTTCTGTTTGAATACAATCACACGTTCTTTGTGCCTGTGCTACTTTAACCCATGAAGCGGCGTCACTCTTTCTCTTCCATCATACACGAACTTTTGCTTGTTGGGTCACATTCATGAACAACGTGACCATTTGAATCACTTGTCTATTTGAATGCAATCACAAGTTCTTTGTGCCTATTCTTCTTCGAACACGAAAGCGTCGTCACTCTTCGTCTTCCATCATTCACAAACTTTTACTTGATCGATCACATTCATGAACAACGTGACCATTTGAATCACTCATCTGCTTGAATACAATCACACGTTCTTTGTGCCTGTTCTTCTTCGAGCACGAAAGCGTCGTCACTCTTCCTCTTCCATCATACACAACCTTTTACTTGGTCGATCACATTCATGAACAACGTGACCGTTTGAGTCACTCGCCTGGTTGAATACAATCACACGTTCTTTGTGCCTGTTCTTCTTTGAACAGGAAAGCGTCGTCACTCTTTGTCTTCCGTCATACACAAACTTTTACTTCGTCGATCACATTCGTGAACAACGTGACCGTTTGAGTCACTCGTCTGCTTGAATAAAATCACGCGTTGTTTGTTCCTGTGCTTCGTCGAACCAGGTAGCGGCGTCACTCTTCCTCGTCCATCATACACAAACTTTTACTTGATTGATCACATTCATGAACAACCTGACCATTTGACTCACTGGTCTGTTTGAATACAATCAGACGCTCTTTTTGGTTGTGCTTCTTGAAACCAAAAAGCGGCGTCAGTCTTCCTCTTCCATCATACACACACGTTTACCTTATGTTGAGTCACATTCATGAACAACGTGACCGCTGGAATAAAATCGCACGTTCTTTGCGTTTGTGCCTCTTCGACCAGGGAAGTGTCGTCACTCTTCCTCTTCCATCTTACACGAGCTTTTGGTTTTTGGGTCATATTCATGAACAACGTGAAGGCTTGAATCAGACGTCTGCTTGTGGTCAGTTACGCTTGCTTTATGCCTATTGCTGTTCGAACCGGAAAGTGGCGTCGGTCTGCCTCTGCTGTGATACACGAACT